CGCCCCCCCCCCCGACATGCACCCGCCGGACGCGCGCAAAGCAGGGCGAGGCGGTTTCTGCTCTTACCGGTCGCGCTCCAGGCTGAGTCCCATAGACTGAAATAGCAAAGCACCGCCAAGCCCCAGCCAAACCTCATTGTGAGCAGCTCCGCAGAGCAGGGAGGAGTGTGTCAGGCGGAAAACCAGCCGCTCCCCTCGCCCCCAAGGAAGAGCTGCCCGAGCACTCCCATTGGTTGCTGGGGGGAACACACCAGGGCGAGGCGGTTTCTGCTCTTACCGGTCGCGCTCCAGGCTGAGTCCCATAGACTGAAATAGCAAAGCACCGCCAAGCCCCAGCCAAACCTCATTGTGAGCAGCTCCGCAGAGCAGGGAGGAGTGTGTCAGGCGGAAAACCAGCCGCTCCCCTCGCCCCCAAGGAAGAGCTGCCCGAGCACTCCCATTGGTTGCTGGGGGGAACACACACACCCGGCTTGACACACAGAGACGGACACACCCCCCACACACAGCTTGACAGAGAGAGAGACACACACAGAGCAGAGACAGAGCTCGAGACAGACACACACACAGCTTGACACACAGGGACAGACAGACACACACACAGCTTGACACACAGAGACAGACACACACACACACAGCTTGACACACAGAGCAGAGACAGAGCTCGAGACAGACACACACAGCTTTTCACACAGACAGACACACACACACAGCTTGACACACAGAGACACACAGACACACACACAACTTGACACACAGAGACACACACACACGCACACACAGCTTGACACACACACACAGAGCAGAGTCAGAGCTCAAGACAGACAGGCGCACACACACACACACACAGCTTGACACACACACACAGCAGAGTCAGAGCTCGAGACAGACAGGCACACACAGCTTGACACAGACACACACACACACACAGCTTGACACACACACACAGCAGAGTCAGAGCTCGAGACAGACACACACAGCTTGACACAGACACAGCAGAGTCAGAGCTCGAGACAGACAGGCACACACACGACTTGACGCTCTGAGTGGCAGCTGTGGAGGCGCGTCGTGCCCGGGGGGGAGGGGGTGGCGGCGGGTTGCACCTGCCAGGAAGACGCTGGCCCTGGCTCCATGTGCGCTCCGATAACTGAAAGTGCCCGCGGGACAGGCACTGACACGGTCCCGGCCCTCGGCACAGGGCGGAGCCTTGCGGCCCATGGGAAGTGCACGTTGCCTGTGATCACGGGGGCGCAGGCCCGGAGGAGGGGGGCAGCCAGGCCGGGGCTGGGGAAGTTCTGGGGCAGGAGTTAACTGGGCTCCTCGGAGAGCCCTGAGAATCAGGCCTGTCTCCGCAGCCAGAGCGCCCGGCCGGCGGGGCAGGGCGGGCCCAGGCCTGCGGACACAGGGTCCCAGTACTTGGTGTTTTCCCTGGAGCCCCCACTGCCTGCGTGTCCGTGTGTATCTGTGGCCGGGAGAGCACCGAGCCCCCCACAAGACTATTCAAAACCCGGAATGATTTGTAAGTCGACGCCTGATTGCGGAGTGCGTGGAACTGGCAACGTGGCACTGGGAGCATCCGTCGCTAGGAGAGGCAGTGCGGCCTCATGGGCCATGCCCAGGACCGGGACTCAGCAGCCATGGTTTCTTTTCCCAATGGCACTGCAGGTGGCTTTGGGCATCTCGCATCACTACTGTGCCTCGGTTTCCCTGTCTGTGAAATGGGGCTAATGATGCTGCTTTCCGCACAGCGAGAGAAGAGCTCCGCGTTCCAGCTCTCCTGTGCAGGACGGAGTGCAGCGTCCTCCCAAGGAGCCTCGTCTCCCCCCCAAGGAGCCTCCTGGAATGCCTCGGGCAACGTGCTAAGTGCAGCTCGGCCGGGGGCTGGGAGCTAGTGCCACAGAAGCAGCTCAAGGAGATGCTGCCTTGGAGTTTCCCTGCAGGAACCAATCGGATCGACTCCAGCTCTCCCGGAATCGATCCCTGACCACGGCCGAGTCCCAGCGACATCGGCCCCAGAAGGTCCAACAGGGCGAGTGCGACCTGCAGCCATCATGGGACGGGCCTCACGATCGTGGCACTGAACTCGCTCGCGTCCTGGCTCTGGTCGGTGCTCGCCCTGCTGTGCCCCCAGGCCATGGGACACGAGGAGCAATCGACACTGTAACCCCCCCCCCCCCCCCCCCCCCCCCCCCCCCCCCGGCCCGTGGCAGGGTCCTGTGGCCCAGGGCGGCTGCTTAGACTGGCAGGGCTGGTGCTAGGGCGCTGCAGTGCAGGTATCTCCCCTTGGATCTGAGCCCCACCCCCTTTCAGGGCTGGCTCGCGGCTTAGGCCCCCTGGTCTGGCAGGAGGGGGCACGCTTGGCCCGGGCCTCACGATCTGGCCCAGCATGGGGATAAGAGCTCGGCCTGAGCCCAGGCCCAGCCCCGAATGACCCAGAGCGCCAGGCTGGAGCCCAGATGCCTGGGTTCTGTCCCCGGCCCTGCCGCCGGCTGGCCTGGGGCAAGTTGCTTCCCTGCTGCCTCAGTTTCCCCTTTGGGTGCCGGGGAGATGCTGCTGCCCTGCGTGGCCAAGCAAGGTAACCAGGTGGAGAGGGGCTGGGGCGCCCCGGCCACCCC